AATTCGAAACTGGACCCGCACCGACAATTTTCTGTCACAGACTGTAGTTCCCATAACGAACTTCAAATACCAAATTTTAAACAATTCCGGTTAATAATGTCGCTAAAATCATCAAAATACCGAACATAGCGAGGTGCCGTTATATGGGGGCTATACGAAGACGTGGACCTGCACAAACAATTTCTGTCTTAGGGTGTAGTATCCATTTGGAACTTCAAATACCAAATTTGAAACAATTCCAGTGAATAATGTCGCTAAAATCATCAAAATACCGAATATAGGGAGGTACCGTTATATTGGGGATATACGAAGACGTGGACCTGCAAAGACAATTTTCTGTCTTAGGGTGTAGTATCCATTTGGAACTTCAAATACCAGATTTGAAACAATTCCCGTGAAAAATGTCGCTAAAATCATCAAAATACCGAATATCGGGAGGTACCGTTATATGGGGGCTATACGAAGACATAGACTTGCACAGACAATTTTCTATCTTAGGGTGTAGTATCCATTTGGAACTTCAAATACCAATTTTGAAACAATTCCGGTGAATAACGTCGCTAAAATCATCAAAATACCGAATATCCGGAGGTACCGTTATATGGGAGCTATATCGACTTAGAATTTTACGCTGATCAAGGATATATATACTTTGTTGGGTCTGACATGAGTATTTCGAGGAGTTACAAACGGAATGACAAAGTTAATATACCCTCCATAGTATGGTGGAGGGTATAAAAAACAAAAAAATAAACAACAATAAAGGGACTAAGCCTAACAATTTTGCAAAAAAAAAAGTTGCTGGTGTATGTATAGCGAGATTTTTCATGACGAGCTGATGTTTTTGTATGCCAAAAAAGATCTTTGTTGGCTCAGCTGTATGACAAATTGTAAGAAAAATTATGATAGATATGATTTTATATACCTAAATATACATATCAGGTAGACAATACCCCCTAATAGTGTTTCATAATTTTAAGAACTGCTTCCTAAAGATGTTAGTCAACGAAAAAGGGAGGACAAAAATAAGTGTATCCCATCTTAATAATTGCATTTAGTTGTAAAAACTGGACATGATTGTTTATTAAGTCTACGGAACTATTTTAAGTCTACGGAACCATTTCAAGTTTTTAGTACATATCACAAATTGTTTCTTCACTATAAATGTTTTAAAAAAATTCAAATATATGATTGACTGCTAATTCTTCGTTTGTATAAATATACATTTTAGACCCCACACAGTGCATATATTCTTCATCAGCATAAAATTCTATGTTGATTTAACGATGTCCGTCCGTCTGTGGAAATCACTCTAGCTTCCGAACGAAATGATGTAGGGTTATACAATTTTACTCAAATTTATATTATGCCTGTAGAACTTTTGCTATTGGTATTGTTGTGGTATAGCCCCCATAAAATGGAACCTCCCTATTCGGTATTTTTGTGATTTATGCGACATTATTCACCGGAGAAGTTTCAAATTTGGTATTTGAAGTTCGTAACGGATACTAAAGCTTATGACAGAAAATTGTCCGTGCAGGTCCAGGTCTTCGTATAGCCCCAATATAACTGTACCTCCCTATATTCGGTGTCTTGATAATTTTAGCTATATTATTCACCGATTTTTATTTGAGTTATGTCTATGATAAAAGTTTTCCTGTGTAGATCCAAGTCGTCGTGTAGACCCTAATATAACGGCTACGTTCGGTATTTTTAAGATTTTAAGAGACTTTGTAATGGATTATATTTTTTTGAAAGTTGCCAAAATCGTTGAACGGTATTCAAAGATCGGCCGGCCGAACTTACAGCTTTTTTACTTGTTTTATGTTGGATATTACTTATGTCATGATTCATTATTATTCATATTTAGAATGACATTAATGAAAACCTTTGTATGGAGGCTATACGTGGTGGTGCTGGATATGTAATTTTTTGTGATAGGCTGTAGTAATGATTCCGAATTCCGGTGAATAGACGGAGGTATAATAAAGGGAGGTACCGTTGTATGTAAAGGGAGGTACCGTTGTATGGGGGCTATATAGATCTGCATAGACAATTTTCCGCCATAGGTTAAAGTACTCATTACGAACTTCAAATACGAAATTTGACGTGATTCCGGTGAATAATATTTCGAAAATCCAGGTAATACCGAATATCTCGGAGTAGCGTTATATAGGTGCTATTCTAAAACGTAGACATATAAAAACAATTCACTTCCAGGGTGTAAAATACTCAGAGGAAATATAGCCGTTATATTGGGGTCTATACGACGTGGACATACCTAGGCATTGTTTGCCATAAGCCATTACCATATTTAAATTCGAAACTTCAAATAAACGGTGAATAATGTGGCTAAAATCATCAAATAGTAGGTGCCGTTAAATTGGAGCTGTGCAAAGACCTGGACCAGCATAGACAATTTTCTGTCACAGGCTGTAGCATCCATTACGAACTTCAAATACCACATTTCAAACAATTTCGGTGGGTATTGTAACTAAAATCGTCAAAATACCGAATATGGGGAGGTACTGATATATGGGGCCTATACGAAGACCTGGACCCGCACATACAATTCTCTGTCACAGTCTGTAGTATTCATTACGAACTTCAAATACCAATTTTGAAACAATTCCGGTGAATAATGTCGCTAAAATCATCAAAATACCGAATATAGGGAGGTACCGTTATATGGGGGCTATACGAAGACATGGACTTGCACAGACAATTTTCTATCTTAGACTGTAGTATTCAATACGTACTTCAAATACCAATTTTCAAACAATTCCCGTGAATAATGTCGCTAAAATCATCAAAATACCGAATATAGGGAGGTACCGTTATATGGGAGCTATACGAAGACGTGGACCTGCACAGACAATTTTCTATATTAGGGTGTAGTATTCATTTTGAACTTCAAATGCCAAATGTGAAACAATTCCCGTGAATAATGTCGCTAAAATCATCAAAATACCGAATATCGGGAGGTACCGTTATATGGGGGCTATACGAAGACTTGGACCTGCACAGACAATTTTCTGTCTTAGGGTGTAGTATCCATTTTGAACTTCAAATACCAAATTTGAAACAATGCCAGTGAAAAATGTCTCTAAAATCATCAAAATACCGAATATAGGGAGGTACCGTTATATGGGGGCTATATGAAAACGTAGACCTACATGGCCCATTTACGAACTTAACCTGCCTACTGGAAAAATAAACATGTGTGCAAAATTTTAGCCATCTATCTCAATTCATTCGAAAGATAGCGTGATTACAACAGACAGACAGACAGACAGACAGAAAGACAGACGGACAGACAGACGGACATCGCTAAATCGCCTTAGAGTTTTACGCTGATCAAGAATATATATACTTTGTTGGGTCTGACATGAGTATTTCAAGGAGTTACAAACGGAATGACAAAGTTAATATACCCTCCATAGTAGGTGGAGGGTATAAAAAAATAACAATGGTTGTTAAACACAAATCGTTGTTGCAGAACTCATCGTTTACTTTTTTTACCATCGGTGGCACTGCAAGTGGTTTTTAGTTTTTGTTGGTACAATGGTCAGGTATTATTTAATTGTAGTTGTCATTCTGAATAATTGGTGAGAAGTTACTTCAATTTTGTGAAAAAGAGTTGCCAAGTCTGTGTTTTAAAACTTGGGGGGTATGAGATTAGGCCATAGAAATAACGGATAGTGACTTAGCAGGTGTACCAATCATTATTCAGAACTTTGTTACTCAATAAAATTTAGATCCAATTAGAGATTATGAAATTCTTAAGGTCCCTTGACAAAATAGAACTCGAATTCTGGCAAATCCCTCAATATTTATTTAAGTCACTGAAGAAAAGGAGTAACACATGCACATTTCCTGTTAGTGGCGTTAGAAATTCGACCAAAATTTAAGATTTTATTGAGACCATATTGGTATATAAGTAATATAGTTGGCGTATATATAGTTGTTAAACACAAATTGTGGTTGCAGAAACTATCGGCGGTTCTACAAGTCGTTTGTAGTTTTTGTTGAAAGTTTAAAAAGTGGAAACTACAACTTCAAATGTATAATATCAGTTTTAGTTAAACACTGGACATGAAAAGCTGTTGCCGATACTCCATCGAGACCACCGTGGCCTCATGAGAATCACAATGATAACACTTGTGAAATTTGTTCCATAAAGATTGATCTTCCGACGAAAGGGGCTGAACTAATTAGAAAGGCACAAATTGAAGATGAAGACATTTACGATATCATTGAATCCTTCGGAAAAGATGATGACAATGTCATTCATTACATCAACAAAGTCATCATGCAAGATGGAGTGCTACTCAAAATTCATGCGGCATATTATTCTTTATAATCACCACGGCAGCTGGACATTATGGTATTGAAAGGACTATAAACCGTACTACTCCTCACTATTTTTGGCCAAAAAATGAGATCTAAGATTCATCAATATATAAAATCTTGCGTTGATTGTTAAAGTTATTAGCTTAGTATGAAACCTTCTGGCTAATGATCTGTTTGGCCTTGGGAAATATCACACGTTATGGTTATTTTAGTTTAAAATGAGAAATATTGTTAGGTGTGTTTTCTCAAAGTATGTAACATTCAAATAAAAGGCGTGTGGCTATAAAATATGATCAGGACCTTAATATACATAATAGACAGTTACTAATCTCTAACAATGGAATCTGGCAATGTGTTAGATTGATTGCAGCATATTTTAGTATAATTTTTTCAAGAAAGCAGTCATAAAATTGCCGCTTACGTAAGATTGATTTCTAGAATATTATATTACTAAACATACTAATTAATCACTAAAACTACCGACTAGCAATTGGAAGTATATATTCATATAGAATCTGGGAACTATTAGTCTGTTCTTTTAAAATATAAATAACATTGCTGGATGACAAAACTAATCAATGATGTGAACTAAAATCCAAGTTGTGTGTATGAATCCATATAAAGTGTAATTAAATATTTTTTTCCAGAAATCTGCTATGAGTTGCATATGTTGTATTCCATGCTCCTGGATACGTTCTTCAACTGCAGTACATAAAATAGCTATAACAGCAGCAACATTAGTTGTGACTTCATTACTTGTGGCATCCCCCATTCTGTTTCTTATCAGTACTGCACCGTCGCAACTGCCGCGAGATTGTTACTTGGATGATAATAACTGCATTGGTGTAACAGCTGCACCACCGGAATGCTCCGAGCCGATATGTAAAACGGCAGCCCATAACATTCATGGCAACTTAAATTGGAATTTAAAACCATGCACGGAATTCAAAAACTTTAGCTGCTCTAATATCTCTTCTAACTCACCCAGAATCAACGTAGCTCGCAGCGCTCAAGAAACAGTGGATTTTCAAATGCAGGGTAAGTTCAAAATATACGTAAAATACATTTGGTATCATAAATATATGGAATGATTATTTATGCTGGTGTTAACTAAAAACTACTGTATTATGTTTACAGACTCAACTATTGATTGGCCCTTCCTATACGATTTTATTTATTTCTATTGTTGTCACGGTGAGATACCACCATATCGCTTTTTAAATAAGATGGAAAGTATGTGTAAAAATAATTTTGTGGTATTTCAAAGTTATGCAATTTTGTGCCTCGCGGGAGTTAACCTATAAACAATTTACAATTACATCAGAATTTAACACTCCTTCATTAAGATCTTATCTAAGAGGGTATAAAAACTTTAGGTTCACTGGGCGAACTTTTAATGACCTCCACCATTAGATAAAGAAACAGTTTTGAGAATAGTGTTGACATTTTTTGGTTGCGATACCGTAGTCGTTTTGTTGTTGCAAAATAGTTAGGCTTAATCTCAATATGTTTTTTTTTTTATGAGAACAACGTTTGTTTATTAGTGAAGTAAGATGGTAATGATTACTAGGGGTAAGGAAGAGAATACCATGGTTTCGGAAAGAGCCACCGGTCATCATTAGTTCCCTTGGTTATTGTCTGTGTATAGTCACGCTAGGAGCAAATATGAAATAACTTTTTCACCATTCCCATTCTAATGCTAGGAACACAATTGGAGCGAACGACGAATTTTTTCGCGGCGTATGTTCGTCGTCAAAAATAAAACACATATGTGTATATGGAAGTGCACACAATCACGGCACCGGCGAAAATTTCGTCGGTCGCCGCGAACTCAATTAGCTTTATTTCTATTTCATACGCCGGCGACCGGCGAACAAAACAGTACAAGGTGGCCATACTTGTACGAATTTTATGTGTTTTAGTAAATAAAGTTACATTTTACTTTAAAATTTGTTATGGTCACTCTACTATCTGTTACTCGTATAAAAAAAACATAATTAATTTGTTTATTTATTTGTGTACTTGCGCCTGATTGAAGATGGATATCAGTGAATTTATAATAGAGAAGATGGACATAAGTGAAATTATAATAGAGAACGTAAAGAATTATGTGTTCTTGTATAATTCATTGTAGTCAACAAATGAGCAAAAAGTAAACAACTTCGTCAGCTGTTTTATAATTTCGTCGGTATTGTGTTCCATACGACGAATTTTCGCGGCTCATTTTGTCGCCGCGTAGGGCGAAATTCGTCGTTCGCTCCAATTGTGTTCCTAGCATAATGTATTCGTTTACCTGAACGAAATGGCATATCCGTGTAACACTGCCTTTACACAGTGGCATTTTTTAACCATGCAATTTTTTTGTTGGTAAAAGGTGTAGAGAAACAAGTATAGAAGAAAAAATGGCACGATAAGCCACCGCACAGGGTTACATGCCATTTTCTTTGCATTTCCCTTTTAGCTTCTTCCGAATTTTTTATGATTTTGACATTTCATATCGTTTCTTTATTGTAATTTTTGATGCGTTTCTTTTATTGTGATGTAATGTGTTTAGTGATTGAATTGTATAGTGAATTATATGAAAATTAGTTGGAAGTTTTAAGAAGTAAAAAAAAAGTTCAAATATAAGTTAATAATTTTAATAAATAGGCATATTGGCCACTGTTTCACAACATTCTAATAGCCCCAAAACAATGCCGACATCAAGCTCATTACTGAAATCTGAGCTTTCCACTGCAATATTTAACACCTCAATAACTTTTTCCATCATTTCTTCTTTAGATTCACACATTTAATTTTAAATCACTTCTTTATAAATATCTATTACAAACAATTAGCACAACAATACAGCTCTATACGAAATACTGAATAAAATAAAATGTCAGAAAAAATGCCAAGCACTTATATCGTAAAATGCCACCATGTAAAGGCGCGATGATCTACGCAGAAATTTTAAAAGAGAATTGTTAAAAATGCCATCGTGTAAAGGCAGTGTAAGTTGGTTTTGTCTGTCACAACAAAAACCCCTTTCCTTTATATATATATATATATATATATATATATATATATATATATATATATATATATATATATATATATATATATATATATATATATATAGTAGTTTTTGTCTATTATGCCTATTTGTCAAATCATAATTATTCAAAGATATGACTTATATAAGTGTTCACGTACTGGTCGATTAAAAGTGTTTTAAAATACTTGTACCCATATTTAAGCCGTCGGCTTCAATACTTAAACCGTGGACTTCAAATGTGTGGATGTGCTATACAAATCCATTAAAAAGAATATATCAATCTTATCCCCATGTAGGGGATCAAATTAATTTTTAGTATGGGAAAAATCGTAGCAAAATTTTCCAGTCAAATGGGCAGTAATTTGGAATTTACTGTATTTTGTACACCTCATTGAGGGCTCTAATGATTAAAAAATAAAAATTTTGTGTAAGATTTCCACCTCAAATATACATTTTTAGCCAAATCCTTTGAAATATGGTAAAATCAGGAGGTACCTTTACATGGGCACTACTCCGAAATATCGACCTACATTTAAACTTTCTTCTACCCCTTATAATTCAATATTTTTATACCCTCCACCATACTATGGAGGGAATATTAACTTTGTCATTCCGTTTGTAACTCCTCGAAATACTCATGTCAGACCCAACAAAGTATATATATTCTTGATCAGCGTAAAATTCTAAGTCGATTTAGCGATGTCCGTCTGTCTGTCCGTCTGTCTGTCTGTCTGTCTGTCCGTCTGTCTGTCTGTTGTAATCACGCTATCTTTCGAATAAATTGAGATAGATGACTAAAATTTTGCACACATGTTTATTTTTCCAGTAGGCAGGTTAAGTTCGTAAATGGGCCATGTAGGTCCACGTTTTCATATAGCTCCCATATAACGGTACCTCCGGATATTCGGTATTTTGATGATTTTAGCGACGTTATTCACCGGAATTGTTTCAAAATTGGTATTTGAAGTTCCAAATGGATACTACACCCTAAGATAGAAAATTGTCTGTGCAAGTCTATGTCTTCGTATATATATATATATATATATATATATATATATATATATATATATATATATATATATATATATATATATATATATATATATATATATATATATTATATATATATATATAAATGTAAGTTGTGTTAATTACTACGCTTATAACTTAAGAACCGCTGGACTGATTTTAACGATTCACACAAATTCGGAATTGTCTCTTTTCCAAAAAGGATAATATCAAAAAAATCGCGTAAAAATGTGATATATTAAGATTTTCATTTTGACTTTTCAAATGTACAATAGTAATGTTTTATTTTGCATGAATTTTTTCCATTTTGACTTACTTTTTTCTAATGTGCATTTGTAGTGTTTTTTATATTTTAATGTTGAATTCGAATATTAATACCATTTTATTTATTTGATTTGATTTCTTGAGAACTGAAGTTGATTCGGGATACATGGAAGTGTAGTACGAATTATGTGGTGGCGAAACGGAATAGATGATATCGAAATAATTTAACGCGGTCACAAAGTTAAAAGATAACTACTTTTTCAAATCGATAAAAAAAACCACGAAAAAAAGAGATCTCATTGCAAAAATTCTCAAATCGGGAAAAAAAACGAAAAAAAAATTCAATGGAATCGAATTTTAAAATAATAGTACATTCTATTGACAAACTTTGTAAGGATCTTTAAACATTTGCTGTAAAAAATCAGCGAACAAGTTGAAGATTTTTTCAATTTTTTATTCTTCTTTTGTCAAGTTTTTTCAATTTTTATTATTATTGTATTGAATTCAGTGATTTTTTTGTGAACAAAAAATGAAAGTGCGAAATACGATGTTAACTGACATCTACATTTCAACTCCAGGGCCGACATCGTGGTTCAGCTGGAAGATGCGAACACATTTAAAAAACAAAAATGACCGAAAAAGCCTAATGGCGCTCATTTCAAAGTGTGGATCTACTTCTTTAATGTGACAATAATCCGTCCAATGAGAGCTCAAAATTCAAAATTCTTTGGGAGTACTATCAGTAAAATACCAAATATAAAGGGTGGAAAATAGTAGAGCGAATGGGACTCTTAGTAAGAAAAGAATTTCTTTCCTTACAGAAATTCTTCCCAAACATTCAAGATACCAGAAATCGCTTTTGCAGGTCATGATATCGATCATAACTCACGGATAAGGGTACAACCCGATTTCATATTTATTTACCCATCGTATGATTTAAGCTATTATTGGGATCTTGGCCACTTTTTTCATTTTTTGTCTCTTAATTGGCATCTTTGCTTCTTAGGGGGTAGAGAACCTCTTCGCATAAATTTTGAAATTTTTGGAGTTGGCCTTGACCACATTAATCAATTGATTTGGCTAAAAAATTGTATATATGCTACCTTGGGGTAGGGAACCATCATACAGATAATTGTCCCATAGGAATTTATTCAAATAAAGTCTCCATTGGAGTTTCCCCAAGTACACTTTCACATCTAATGTGTGATCAGAAAAAAAAATGTATTATATTAAATTTGTAACCCCCAAGAGAATATTGGTTGGGAACGAATATTTGTGATGAAATAAATTGTGAAAACATGAACAAATTACAAATATAAGAAAGTAGCACTGGACCGAATATTTGTTGAATCGTCATTGAATTATACTATGTGAATATTATGGGGTCTCCAACTTACAATTTAAATGGCAAATAAAATTAATAAAATTAACAAGTTAAAAAGCAGTAAGTTCGGCCGGGCCGAACTTTTAATACCCTCCACCATTTACAACGAATTTGGAAATTTTCAAAAAATAAAATCCTTAACAAATTCTGTTAAAATTTTAAAAATACCGAATATAGCCGTTATATTGGGGTCTATACGACGTGGACATACATATGCATTGTTTGTCATAAGCCATTACCATATTCAAATTCGAAACTGGACCCGCACCGACAATTTTCTGTCACAGACTGTAGTTCCCATAACGAACTTCAAATACCAAATTT